ATATGTAGATACATTGCAGCAATATTTGGTATTGAATTTCTCATCTATAGAACACAGTGATAGAGTTCCTGTAAACTCCAACAGGAAGTGAGAGGATATCTTTCCAATGTGAGGGAAATTCCCTCTGCAGCTGGTCATACACTATGCAAATTCACACCGTGGGAGCCTCTGTTGGTACCCTTTGGCCGGCATCCCTTGATCAGATGATTGAAGGAATCAGCCAGCCGGCAGCTGCTGTCACAGTACAATAAAGACGGCAGGAGATTCCATGATCGACACTTGTAAGCGTTGATGGAGGAATCTGTTCTATTTTCTTTGTTATATATTAGTGTATGGGCAGCTTTAGACAGTTGTCACTGGAACAAGTGTCCCCATTGGAAGATGTACCTTCTATTCCTGTTCTGGTAGCAACTCAAATCTTTGGCTTTCCTCTCGCTGTCATTCCCGGTGACACCGGTGATCAGGACAATTAGAGAAGGGGGGAATCTCCTTAATGGTGACACCGCCAGCAATAAAAGCAGACAGGGGTTCCAGAATAGTGGATAGGCAACCATAACTGTAGCTGGGTGAATAGGTGGCAGTGGGGTCAGAGTTCACCTGCTCCGTACCACCCAACTGCCAGGACCAATGAAAACTCCTAGGAGCAGAAGGAGTTTCCTGTTTTCTGAAAATGGAAAATGTTGTGAATACTTTTTATTGTATTTAGCTGTATTTAGGTCATTGTGAATTTACACTAAAAAAGTTTTTCTCCCTAGGAAAGAAATTTTAGGAACATTGAACTCAAGGAAACAAAGAGTCTATAATGGTTAAAGCCGAACTCTATAAACAAACATTTCATTTTCTTTTAAATATTTTCTTCAATAGCCACAAAAGATATAAATCCACTTTGTGTGCCCCAGATACCTCTGCAAACCCAGTTACGGCCTTATAAATGTAGCAGTGACATCATCACAATACTGCACACAGCCTGTACATAGACCCGAGCTGTGGGAGGGACCCTGCAGGCCCCACCCACTACAGGCTGCCTGGAAACAACTCCAGGAGGGGGTGGAGACAAGACCAGTCACCCTGCACAAGGAGAGGGAGCAGCAGTAACTACTGCAGACAGGGTTTATTGCACAGGTCTGGAAGAATACACAAAGCACATCGATACACAAATCAGAATACACACGCCTCTTGTATTTTGAGAGTATTTGTTTATCCCAGAGTTCAGCTTTAAAATGTGCTCTGCACTCCTTGCTCCTATACTGCCATGCTGCAGCAGTTGGATGATGTACACATATAGGACAGCTGGAAGAATGGCAGTTATCCCCTGCATGATGTGTAGCAGAAATCCTGCTCTGCATACTTGTTACAGGTGTGTGATGCAGAAAATATTGAAGCCATGGGATGAGCATAGCAGTCAAGCAACTCTGCCCTTTTCTCTCTGTATAGGTTTCCCTGTAAGAATATTATGGGATGGAGGAGCATTCTCATACTGACATACAAACCCCAGGCAGGTAGTGGCATTGTATGTGCCATGTAAATAACTGTAGCTTCACTTTTCTAGGCGGATGTCTATGGCTTGTCGAAGAAGATCAACCGCACAACATTGCAGGTGGAGCGATGGTTCAGGAGGAGACGGAATGAGGACCGGCCCGCCGTGATGAAGAAATTCCAGGAATCTTGGTAAGATGATTGTTCTCTCAGCCCTTTCATTCGTGTCATGTAGCACAATGCAGAGGATGCTGCACTGGTATCACACTGAAGCTGGCCATACCCATGTGGCGGGGGGGTATTTATAAACAGTTCGCCCTGTAAGTGTCTATGAGCGTTCTTTCTGTACACATAGTGGCAAAAAGGAATGCTCTTCTTATAATTTCTTTAGATACCACACTATGCAATACCACACTATGGCCACTAGGAGGAGCATAAGAGATCAGTGCAGAACAAACGCTTTACACTTCGAGAGAATCGCAGGTCAAATGGCTCTGAGAATTGTTTATAAATGGATCTCTTGGTGTTTTTTTCTCTTCAGCTGGATGAAGAAAATGTAACAGATTCCTCCATCCAAGCTAAACAGCGTGGATGGAGGAAACCCCCCCATTCCGGGCTATTGTATTCTAACAGTGGCGTGTGTGCCGCTGCTGTTATGATAGTTGAAGAGTGACTGCAGCTGATTGGCTGCAGTCACTCTTCAGCTGACAATTTTCTGTCCGGTCCCCTGGGTTTTCAGATCGAAGGATGTCAGGTGCAATGGGGTTGACAGGAACCCCCCACTTAAATATTCCATGGTTTTAGAAGTCACTTGCGTTCTCCGGCCCACATCTGTCTGCCCGATTACATGCCGGGATTAGTGCAGCCTCCTCTCTCAGGCCTCTCGGATGTCAGAGCTGCAGGTCTCATAGACCCCAGTGCTGAGGTCTTGTCTCCGCCACCCTCTCCTCCCGACTATTCACAAAACATACAGCCCCCCCAGGCTTTGTCCCCTGAATGGCTGGGAGGAGAGGGAGGCGGAGATGGCACCTCAGCACCGGGGTCTATGAGACCTGCAGCTCCTACACCCGAGAGGCCCGGGAGACACAGAGGAAACCGTACTAATCCCTGCACAGTGGCGTAACAACCGGGGGTGCAGCAGGGGCGCGGGCCCCGGGCGAAAAGTGAAGGGGGGGTGCCGGGCGAAAATGGCACTTTCAGCTAAATGCCGAAAGTAACATTTTCCTGCCGTTTTGTCGGCGCGGCCGAACCCTGCATGTAATTGGGCAGACAGATGTAGGAAAAAAGCCGACATGACCAGAGGCGGCTTTAAGACTGTGGAATTTTGAACTGCTTCAACCCAGGTAAGGTTATTGTGTCTGGAGTTGGTCTTTAGCAGGAAGTGCCTGAACAAGGATCTTCATGGCAGGATAGCCAGGTATTACCGGTATGTAAGTGAAAGCTGCAGATTTTAAGATTGACAATTACTTTATGAATGTCTTTATATGAGGTTTGTGTGATTGGGTTTACATATACTCTAGCACAGTGGTTCTCAACCTGTGTAACCTCAGGACCCACAATTGGGTGCAATGGGCAGTGCAGACATTTACTTCTGTCTAGTTGTCTCTTTGTTTTCTATGGTTCAGCTTCTGTTAGGATAATAACTCTGTCTTTGTAGCAATCTAGAATTAGTAATACCATATGTAATTACTTCTCTGAAGTCCTACTCCTCTGCGATTGATATTTATAACACAGGTCTGTCCATGGGCCTGTAAATCCTCACTGACATTGAACTATTTGTGCTGAATGTGCGGAGTCAGTGACCACACCCCGCTGGCACAGCCAGGCCTGCAGTTGTGCCCAGCCGGTGAATCAGCACAGCTCTCCTCCGTGTGATAATGTGTTGCTGTAAATAGCTCTAGGCCTAGAAAGGAAACTCTCGATCACTAGTTTCCCCATGAGATTTTACACAGACAGCAACAGTGCATCCTGGGACTTGGTACTGGACCATTTTTACCCCGTCTCGGGCGACGCTACACTGTGGTTATGGAGATCTTTTTAACTTGTAAAACCTTTCTGAGCGATAACATTTCCACTGCTCACAATTTTCCATCACAGTACTCAGATCACCAGTGATAACAAATATGGGACTCCCTGGGGCAGTCACATATATTATTCCATATTATTATTATTATTATTAAAAGTGGTGTAGTAGTTCACACTTTTGCTCTGGATTAGGGCTGCAACTAATAATAATTTTCATAATTGATTAGTTGGCCGATTTTATTTTGTTGATTAATTGGATAAAAAAATATAAATAAATACCATCCTGAAAGGGTTGTTAAACCCTCAGCGGTTTTTGCATACACACTATATTGCCAAAGGTATTGGGACACCCCTCCAAACCATTGGATTCAGGTGTTCCAATCACCTCCATGGTCACAGGTGTATAAAATCAAGCACCTCGGCATGCAGACGCTTCTACAAACATTTGTGAAAGATTGGGTCGCTCTCAGGAGCTCAGGGAATACAAGCGTGGTACTGTGATAGGTTGCCACCTGTGCAATAAGTCCATCCGCAAAATTTCCTTGCTACTAAATATTCCGTGGTCATCTGTTAGTGGTATTATAACAAAGTGGAAGCAACTGGGAACAACAGCAACTCAGCCACAAAGTGGTAGGCCACGTAAAATGACAGAGCGGAGTCAGTGGATGCTGAAGCGCACAGTGTGCAGAAATCGGCAACTGTCTGCAGAGTCAATAGCTACAGACCTCCAAACTTCGTGTGGCCTTCAGATTGGCACAACAACAGTGCGTAGAGAACTCCATGGAATGGGTTTCCATGGCCGAGCAGCTGCATCCAAGCCTTACATCACCAAGTGCAATGCAAAGCGTTGGATGCAGTGGTGTAAAGCACGCCGCCACTGGACGCTAGAGAAGCGGAGATGTGTTCTCTGGAGTGACGAATCACACTTCTCTGTCTGGCAATCCGATGGACGTGTCTGGGTTTGGCAGCTGCCAGGAGAATGGTACTTGCCTGACTGCATTGTGCCAAGTGTAAAGTTTGGTGGAGGGGGGATTATGGTGTGGGGTTGTTTTTCAGGGATTGGGCTTGGCCCCTTAGTTCCAGTGAAGGGAACTCTTAAGGCCTCAGCATACCAAGATGTTTTGGACAATTTAATGCTCCCAACTTTGTGGGAACAGTTTGGGGATGGCCCCTTCCTGTTCCAACATGACTGCGCACCAGTGCACAAAGCAAGGTCCATAAAGACATGGATGAGCGAGTTTGGGGGTGGAGGAACTTGACTGGCCTGCGCAGAGTCATGACCTCAACCTGATAGAACACCTTTGGGATGAATTAGAGCGGAGACTGCGAGCTCGGCCTTCTCGTCCAACATCAGTACCTGACCTCACAAATGCTTTTGGAAGAATGGCCAAACATTCCCATAGACACACTCCTAAACCTTGTGGACGCCTTCCCATAGTTGAAGCTGTTATAGCGGCGAATGGTGGGCCAACTTAATATTGAACCCTACGGGCTAAGACTGGGATGCCATTAAAGTTCATGTGCATGTAAAGGCCGGCATCCCAATACTTCCATATTATTATTATTATTAAAAATCTGGCATCCTGTGGGCAGCACAGTAGTGTAGTGGTTCTCACGTTTGCTCTGGATTAGGGCTGTAACTAATAATAATTTTCATAATCGCTTAGTTGGCCGATTTATTTTTTCGATTAATTGGATTAAAAAAACAAAAAATCTTAATTTAAAATAAAATACACAAATGGAGTGTTACAAACATAAAGTTTACTAAGGAATAGTACTGATCACTGTGATGTTTGAATATTAAAGGGAACAATCAGCAAATATTTTACATATTTGCTGATCGTCCTTCAGCTCTCCTCCACAACCACCCCGTTTGGCCTCTTGACCGTTTTCTCCTCCTCACTGGGCTCCAGCAGGTGGATCAGCTCTGTGTGCCCTTTGACCCCCGCTGCCTCTACCGATAGAGGAGAGCAGCGGGGATCAAAGGGGACACAGACCGCAGCATGCAGCGGGCTCCCACCGTAGAGATGAAAGATGCATAGCCAATGGGGTCGGTGGTGGGGTGTTTGATGGAGCTCTCCTCACCATTGGGCACCAGCTGCAGGGATCTCTGTCCCCTCCAATCCCTGACGGGCGCAACGGAGAGCGGAGGGGACACAGAGAGGATGAAACACCGGCTCCCAGCGTGAAGGACAGAGCTAGGGGACCAAGACCAACTAATCGATGATCAAAATATTATTATCGATTAGTTGGTTGCAGCCTTAATCTGCAGCACTTGGGGTCCCTGGTTCAAATCCCCGTCAGGACACTAGCTGCAAGGAGTTTGCATGTTCTCCCTGTGCTTGCGTGGGTTTCTTCCCATACTCCAGACATGGCATTAGGTTAATTGGCTCCTACTTAAATCAACCCTAGTGTGTGTATGCATGCATGTGAGATAGGGACCTTAGACTGTAAGCCCCTTGAGGGCAGGAACTGATGTGAATGTACAGTATGTGAAGTGCTGTGTAAATTGATGTTATATAATGTAATAATAATAAAACAAAGATGTTTTACTTTAAGCCTGGGGAAATAAGAGGCCAATAGAAAGGAGACCAGACAATGGACAACAGTTTAACCCCTTCATGACTGAGCTTGTTTTTAGTTTCTGTTCGTAAATGACTGACACACTTTAAACTACCATGTGCTATACAGTATCTATAGAACATACTGGCTGGGAAGGCATGTTTATATAGTGAGCAGATGTCTCCTAGTGCTGGCTTCATCTTCGGGGAACAGTAGGAAGTGGCTCGGAAAATCCAACCTGACCAAACGTTTCTTGTCCCGAGATCAGTTAGCCAAGCGGTGTCTGCAAAGACCTCCCCCTAGTTGTTATTATATAAATTGCTGCATGTGGTAGGATAACAAAAATATACAACAGGAACTATGTATATTTTTGTGAAAATGCAAAAGTCTTCCACAAAATTCAGGGTGATAACTTTTTTCGATTGTCTTTAATACCAAGAAAGTTGCATTAAAGTAGAAGTCAGGGCAAAATGAATTTTAAGCCCTTCAGTGGGGCTACCCCACACACTGCAAGGGGATAAGTGCTCATTTGTTTCTAGGTGCTAAAAAAAAAAAAGGATCCTCTGAGCCAGCTTGTTCTTGGACCGGTCACTGGAGCCTCTCTCCCAAGGATCTAAGGATCCTTGAACCATCACATTCTATACAGTGTATTGGACGTGAGGACGCCGAGGGGCATACCATCGCTGCTGCGGAGGGGAAGAGAGGCTTCAGGATCTGGAGTAGCTGCAAACCAGCACCATGGTTCTTGTGAGTATAACTTTTTGTGGGACTAGCCCCACTGCAAGGGTTAAGAATAATTCTGCTCGGAGTTCTGCTTTAATGCATATTGTAGTATAGCCTCTCTGAATATCATTCTGTATGTCAAAGGAAACGACAATCTCTGTTGCCTTTTGATTTGACATCTGCTGCTTTAGGTCAGTGGGGCACACCATAAAGGGCTTGTTCACATGTAGTGCGTTGAGCTACGTTTATCAACACAAGCTCAATGCAAGGACACAGCAAGTACCGTCTATGTGCTCTTTTCACAGCTAGGCATTGCATTGGTGTGGGCTGGGGAGAAATGCACACAAAAACGAGTCACAGCGCACATTAACGCATTGCAACATGGTGCTGCGCTAAAAAATAACACAGAAGTAAAAAAAGAAAAAAGTGCTATAATGTGGTATAACAAGGCATTGCAGGGCATATTTAAGCCCTCACGGGCAGGGCCCTCCTTAACATCTTGTCTTAAATTGTATTGTGACTGTAATGTCTTCCTTATACTGTAAAGCGCTGTGTAAACTATTGGCGCTATATAAATCCTGTATAATAATAATATTTACATTGCACATGCAGTATGCATTGTGAACACGCTCTAAGGCTAAAGTAGCAAAATGTTATCCTAATGCTTTTTTGTGAGGTTGCCAAAATATAAACGGCTGTCTGGCTGATACACAGATCTGTTCTCTAGTAAGCGGCCTGTGGAGGGGTCTTGAAGGGAAGTTTTCCATTACACTAACTGACTTTAAGGGCCTCAGATTTAATGTAGTGTAATTAGAGACAGCATGAGACCTCTGGGGGCTGTAATTACCTATCACCAGGAGAGCAATCTGACGTAATTCTCCATGCAATGCTATACTTGCCAAGAGCCACTTTCATCTACTTGCATAGACAATGGGCACGTAAAGGGTTAAGTCCCCATCTGCGTATATTCCCTGTTCTAATCATCAAATTATGATATAGGGGGAATGAGAACTGATGATGTAAGTTGGTGTGCTGAGTGGTCTATATTAGTAAGGAATAAAGGGAACTGCTGCATAGATGATCCAAGATTATTACTGATTGAAACTGAGTGTATGATCCTCCAGTAATCTGCACTCCTCATCATTATAAATCTCTAGATATTCAATACAAGATTGCAGATAATTGGCAGCTTCATTTTCTCTGCTTTTCATGGGGCCACTCATACACAACCACCGGCCTCTGCTGTATTGGGAGACTTTAGGGGCATAGAATATCTAGGGGGGGTTATTCACTAAGGCAGCCGAGTGAATAACTGAGCCGTACATTGGCTAAAATCTGCTGTACATCAGCCGGCGTTCTGGGGCAAGCCCCCTTTCTCAGAACCTCAGGTGCTGAGGAAAGGGTTGTGCCCCAAAAACGCGTTAACCCAGGCAAGGTATGCAGCAAGATGGACTCATTGTTACTCTGCAGCCTTTTTTTGCCATGATCAATTTGTCCGTTTCAAGGATTGTGCATCGGTGTCTGTGTATTGAAGATCTTAGATTTACCACTTGATTGTGAGTACATTTTTTACACTCGCATCAGTCCCTGCCCTCAAGGAGCTTACAATGTAAGGTCCTTATTGTATATACATAAAGGGCCAGTTTAGTCAGGAGCCAATTAACCTTCCAGCATGTTTTTGGAGTGTGGGAGGAACCGGAAACTCACGCAAGTACAGAGAGAACATTCAAACTACGTTTAAAGTAGAACTGGAGCCAAACCTTTTTTGTTTCCTTAGTTTTGGATAGAGTAAGGGATAAAACCCCTGTCAGCTTTTTTTGCCATCTATGTCCTGTTGGAGAGATTTCCCCTCACTTCCTATCCCATAGCCATAACGGAAAGTGAGGGAAATCTCTCCAAAGTGAGGGAAATCCCTGGTGGTCAACAGAGTGACCAGAACTAATGTCCTCATTGGAAATGTTCCCATCTGTTACTGTTCTGATGACAACCCAAAATGTTCTTTCACTCTCAGTGATAACGGTCCCCAGGACAAATAGGGGGTGATTCTCCCTAAAGGGGACACGGATAGCAATACAGACCTGACAGGTGTTCTGATCCCTCTCCACTCTATCCCAAACTAATGTTTTTGGCTTCAGTTGCACTTTAAGCCTCTTTTCCTCCAGGCCCAAAGCGTGCCCCTTGGACGTAAATGAAAAGTAATTGGTTATAATGGGGAAACGCGGTGGTTCTTTCATACACTTTAATACAAGAGGTGTGCTAAATGTATCTGGAAGCATTGCAGTGTCACACATACAATGTCAGCAAAGGAGATTTTCCTCTGAACTCACACAGATTTGTTCCCTCTTCAGCTGGAGGTTCACCTTCTACCTGTGCGCTTTGATTGGAGGATACGCCATCTTGTATGATGTAAGTCACGTTTTATATCATGTTTGTCTAGACAGCACATCACCGGTGTAAGATGAAAACTGTATGCAATAAGTATGTAAACCCGATAGAAACTGTCCCATTGAATGGATTAAAGCTGAAATCCACTTTGGATTCCCTTAAATGCCTTTTTAAATGCAGATGTTACCCTTCTCGATTTGTTCTGGTGACAATTGTCACTGCTGATGTGGCAGAACTTCAATCCATGGATGGCCCTCTCAGCACCGCCGGTTCCACAAAAGACAATTTTAAATTGATTTTTATCAAAAAAGCCAGGTGGAAAATTGTTGGCCAAACAGTGACGGCAGGCGATTAGCACTGCTTAGGCTGACAGCAACAAACCAACACGGAAGGTTCCGCTATCCATGCACCGTAAATTGGGGGTAAATTGTCTTCTTAAGGTCTATGATATGAGTTGTCATTGGAGCAAGAGGTGACGAGAAATCTCCAAATGGTGACATGTTCAGGTGACAACTGTCTGAGATGGGAATTCCCTTTAATTTGGGGAGATTTCATCTCACTTCCTGTTGCCTGTTGTGGAAGGAAATCTCCCCAGCAGGACACAGAAAGCAAAACGTAACCTGATAAGGGTTTACCCCTTCCCTACATGCATACACTTCCTTATACATACATGTTAAATATTGAAAAACATTATCTGAACTCCGTGCTAAACACATATTTCCATGTCTTTCTTTTACAGAAACCCTGGTTCCATGATGTGTGGGAAGTGTGGGTGGGCTACCCAAAACAGGTGAGACACCAAAACACTGATTCTGTGTCTAGAAGTAGAATCTTGTGCCTGGCAAAAAAAAAAACCTAACACAAAGGGGGCTATTTACAAAGAATTCGCAGAGCCATTCGCCCTCTGAGAAGGTTCATTCTGTGTGAATAGAGGCAAAATTAAACGTCCCTAGCATATTTTCTTTTCAGGTCGAATATAATGTAATACCACATCATGGCCACTAGATGTAATTGAGGAGCATAGGGAGTATTTATTTCCAAAGCTCCATATAGTGGCCATAATGTTGTATTACATTCGTGCCAAAATGTAACGGGTGTCTAAGGTATCCCAAAACAACAAAGTTTCCCTACGTTATGTTATAAAACATTTATTTTTACCCATATTTTTGGTAAAACATAAAAGTCGGGGTCAGGTCGGGTAAATAGACACCAAACATGTCAAGCCTTAAAATTGCGTGCGCCCTCAAAACAGCAAAAAACGGCCACACTGAAAATTGCCCATAGGCAACGCTTTTACTGCTCATCGATGTAACATGTGCGGCACAATAGGCGCAATCGTCGTTTTCGCATGTAGGCGCACCCGACGCATCTCTGCGTGTGTATGTGGGGGGTGGGGACTTAAACAAATTTTTTTTTTCTTTTTTCATTTTTTTTATGCTTTATTTTTTTTAATGATTCTTTAATTTAACACACATATATACACATTAGATAGATAGATGGATAGATAGATATGTGTGTGGAACATGTGTTTGTGATGATTGTGGTTGCCACATATAAGTTACCTATGTGTTTTGCATTTGTCAGGAGGTGCTGCAGTCCCAGTACTGGTACTATGTGATGGAGCTGAGCTTTTACTGGTCCTTGCTGTTCAGTGTTGCCTTTGATGTCAGAAGAAAGGTGAGAGACGAGGTTTTCATTCCAGACATTGCTCTCCTATACGGTTAGGTGTCTCTGTGGCTTTAGTATTGTAGTAAATTTGATCATAACAGACGTGGTTTTGTCATTTAAGCAGATACCAAAAATGTCCAGCCCCAAACCTGTGTGTGGCCACCAAACTGCGGAAAATGACAGTACTCAAGATTATCAATAGGTGACGCTGCTTGAAATGCCATTAGAGCTCATCAGCTTAGAGTTACCTGTAAGGCCCCATTCACACCTAGGCGATTTGTCGCAGCTGATTCAGCGCAACAAAACGCTCAACCCCAGGAATCCCATTCTTTTCTATGGCCCCTGTTCACACCTTTTGCGTTTTGTTGCATACATTATGTCACGCAAAATAGTACTTGAGCTACTTTGGGGCAGATTTCAGCGCATTTTGTCCCTATGAACTCAATAGAAAAAGCTTGAAAACACGGGTTGTGATTATTTTTGCGTGCGTTTTATGCGCATTTTGCTCACAAAACGAGCGACTTAACATACGCGCGTAAATCACACACAAAAACCACGCAAACAACTCTGTGTGTAATAGGTGTTGCTTAGTTGTGAATGCAGCCTACATGAGACCTAGAATTATTTCTCACTTCAGCGTGTGCAGTGATACCCCGTATATGTTGTGCAATCGATTACATACGCATTTGCATTCAGATGTGTGTTTGCGTTGGGAGACAAGGATGCTTACATTTTTCTTTTTTGTTATTTTTTATTTTCCACACTTTTTTTTCACGTTACTTTATTGCTGAGTGATAGTATCGGGTACGTTTTTTTGGGAGGCATCAAGGATCTATTAGACCCCCTAATGTCTCCCCTGCCCACTGCTCCAGGCAAACAAGCCTATATTGTGCTCAGTCAGAAGTTTAACCAGCTTTTCAGCCTGGATTCCAACAGCTCTGAACCTGGAAACTCTCAGAGCTGAGCCCTTCCTGATTCACACACTGCAGAAGATATCCGGGGAAGGATGTTCCTCGGTCTCAGTCCACTCTCCATCCTTTCTGTGTTTGTTGTGGTCCTGGGCTCCAGGGAGGTTTCTTTTGAGATTTCCCCTGTGTGGATTCCTGGACAGGAAGTGAGGAGAACCTCTCCAGTGGGACACAGACTTTATTACGTTCAAGTAGAGTGGGAAAAAATTAGAGATCCAAATTTTTCTCTCTTTTTCCAAGTTGGGAAGATTCCGTAATGGAGGTTCATCCCTCTCCCCTCTAAATGACGTGGTTGTTTTACTGGTGATCCCGCTTATAAATGAACATATAACCCATGTGGGAATACAAAACTTTTGCACAACTGCTTCACCTGAAATATTACCACAGCTTACAGTCATTTCTTCCTGCAGGATTTCAATGTACAGGTTGTTCATCACTGTGCCACCATCTTCCTGCTGAACTTTTCCTGGTGCGTCAAGTATATTCGAGTGGGCACGCTGACCATGTTGGTGCATGATGTCTCCGACATCTTGCTGGAGGTACGGTGCAGAATGAAACGTAAAATAAATGGCTCTCTTATAGCGGAGCACAGGCAAACCGCTAAATACACACATGAAATACATAGAAGGGAGATGATTTACTGCCATAGGTATCACCATCCAGTTCTAGTGGCTGGGCAGGTGACCTGGCTTTCTCTGCTGCAGTTGAGTAACACTTCCAGGTCTTGTCCCTCCCCCAGCCTGTGACTGGAGGAGCAGCAAAGTGATGAGCTCAGTTACTTGTATCAGCATGTTCCTTTTTAACACATTTATAAACCGAGAATAAGGGCGCCACACCAATAGGGTATAGAGTCAAATGAGATCTTTAATTGCTTCAAATTGGGGTAACATAAAAAAAAAGACAATGCATTTTGGATACCCAAGCACCCCCCCTTGATAAGGGCTTACGGCCCATTTACACCGAGGTCATGTGTTACACTACTTTTTTCAACAACACCACACAGTATTGCGGTACTGCGTCTTGCAAAGTGGTCCATCACATTGCGGGCAGGAGGTGCATTTGGGGTGCCATTCAAACGAATGGCAATGCAATCCACCTCCTGCATTGTTAACAAACTGTAGGTGCGTTACTTGCATGGAACCATGCGCTTAATACATGGCCCTGGTGTGCACAGGCCCTGCAAGGTTGTAAAAGCTGAGATTGCAGGACTTGAAAAATGTTTAGCTTGGAAGCTCTCATGAGCAGGGCCCTCCTAATACCTTTGTATGGCACTGTATTGTAACCATTCTGTCTCCCTTTATTTTCTAAAGGGCTGCACAAACTATAGGTGCTTTATAAATGCTGTATAATAATAATAATATTTATCATTTATCAGTGGAATACTAGCAATGTTGGATTTCTTCCAGTTAAGGAGCTTCAGGGGAATATTGTATGTGGGTGTAAGCTGTTTTATTTCAAGTTACCTCAATTACAAATCTTTTTATAATGGTCTTGCACAAGACTGCGGTGCCCTTGTTACTCTATTTCTGGATTCCACCCAGGACTCCCCTTCAGGTTCCCTGGCTTATGAGAGCTGCCTAACCAGAGCTAGAGGGCTTGATGAGTTGACTTTGATAATATTAGATCCATGTACTACAATATTCAGCACCTGATATCCACATCTTTCACCTTGTTAGCACATGAGCAATGCAGCACAACTGACTTGCTTCTTGTCTTTGCTCTGCTGCACAACTACAAGTGTCTAATGCCAAGTAAAATTTAGGTACTTATTCTCTTTACATTTTTTTTTTTTGGTTCAATATATTTTTATTTCAATAAACATACTTATACATTCTTTATAAAAAAAAAGAGGAAAAATACATTTAAACATCATAACTCCCAAATAACATTACTATGTATCTCTCCAAATATTAGTCTTCTCTTTATCTTTCATTCAACCAAACAATATTCTAACTTGACTATATTAATTTTCTCATCTTCCATTTCTTCTCCTATACACTCATCTAACATTTATTAACATTTATTCTAATATCACATCATATTCTAAAAAGAGAGGGGGGAACATGATCACCAAGTGAGTCCGTGTAGTCCTTTCCATGTTAAAGGCTCTACCCGGTCCTAGGACTATATTACTCTCTTAACCCTTTCATAATTCTTCACTCTCCCCTGCTTAAGTGTTTTCTCCTATATGTGTAATCTACTCAAGAGTACATTTTCCCCGTTTAGCCCCTTATCCATCCCCTTGACTTTCCACCTAACTAAATTTAAAAAAATCCTAAAAATGTGTAGCCTTTTCCCCGTTTTCCCTTCTGAAATACATTAACTTTCCCTAGTGATAACTTCGTGTTAGTTTCCCTTCCGTGTCCTCTATCCGAGGTCAACCCCTTATTTGTGTTCCAAAGATATATGAATAAATAAATATGCATCTCACCCTACGTGCGAACTCTCCTATATATGTGTTACTTTAATGTGTTATTCCTTATTTTTTCCTTATCCCCCCCCCTTAACCTTTTATCTCACTTGTATTATATCATTATCCTCCCTCTCTCCCACTACTGTCCACAATCTTCACCTTACTTCCAGACATACAGGTCAAATGCTTATAATAGAGAAAAAAGAAACCTAAAATACAGAGAAGAGGTATCCAAATATTGCTTAATTATCTATACCTCTCAAGAATTTATCTTCATGTTAGATGACTCTTATGCTACCTTTTGGCTTTAAGGGGATCCCCCTCAAAGTCCTGACCCTTCTCTTTCTTTACATACCCTTTTCCTAAATACCTCTGTCTGGCTGAATAACTCCCACTTCTCCCATGTATTCTCATGTATATCTAGCTTCCTGGTATCTTTTGCACTCAATTCCTCCATATATCTTATTTCCTCTAGTATTTTTCTCTTTACATTTTAAACTATATTTAATAATATATTAATGACCTGAGAGTTGCCTTCATTTGTGTCTTTTGTATCTGCCTGAAGTTCAGCCATAAGGCCTTCTGTGAGCACAGACAAATGACTAATGGTTGCTGTATCGGCACTAATCTTCACGTATGCATTTCTTTTTTCCTAGGCTGCTAAAATGTGCAGCTATGCTGAGTGGAAGAAGTCATGTCATGTGCTTTTTGGTGTGTTCGCCCTGGTGTTTGCTGTCAGCCGACTCGTCATCTTCCCTTTTTGGTAAGTTGGTAATAAAGAAAATGCATATTTTATTTTTTAGTGTGCGCCCAAGTGCAGGATGTGCAGGTTCTGGTGTGCGTGTGACAGCATGTAATTGTGTACGGCCACACCCTCAGGACCTGTCCCTTCCAGGATTGGCTCTTTTTACGAGCACGCACATTGCATGGACTTGTACGCACATCTGAATGAGCCCTAATAGTTAATGTCAATGGCTCAAAAGCTGTAAAAGGAAAGCATTTGTGGAGGCAATTAAAGATAGTGGTAGATCTCAGTCGCTCTATGGTTTACCTTATTTTAGCAGATTCAGATTGCTTATAGCAGGGGTAGCCAAACTCCGGCCCTCCAGCTGTGGTGAAACTACAAATCCCATAATCCTTCTCTCTCCGGGAGTCATGTCTGTGGCTGTGAGAATCTTGCAATGCCTCATGGGATTTGTAGTTCCACCACCGTTGGAGGGCCGGCGTTTGGCTACCCCCGGCTTATATATTTAAGAGGATGGTTAGCTGCTCTCAGCCAGCCCCCACATAAACCCGAATGCCAGTCTCTGCTAGCCTGTCCAATCATTTCCATTGACAGTGCTTCGTCTGTGGGCGCCTGCTGAACTAATACACTGAGATCATTGCCTGATGGGGCTGTTCTCGGTTTGTCATTTCACATCTGTGGGTAGCCATACAGTGCACATACTCCGCAAGCAACATATCAGATTAGAGCAGATCTCTTGCTATAATGAGAGGATGTAGGGACATCCTTATGTAACTGTCATTCTTGTTATGGAACATGTTATGTTGCCTGTTATAGCTGCACGGCTAGAAAACTAACCAGTATGGAAATTTGATGTAGCAGGCTCTGATATCATTTAGCACCCCAAGATAACACTGCCATACTGTGGATATTTATACAAATGTATTTGTTGCTAGAACAATGAATTGTAATCAGTAAAAAAGGGGTATGGTGATCCGCACAACTGCCAACATCACACAATGGATTGGAAAATGTTCAGAGTTGTGTTGTAGGCAGGTACAAATCACCATAGAATATAGTAGTGAGATTCACTGCTCATACACCTCTGCTACTGAATCTGTATGACACCTTCCACAGCCTAACCATCTGACATTGGCCCCACAGACAAAAGAGTGGAGATTAACATTACCCATTGATCTCTTCTAGCCAGGTCCAACCTAGGTCTGAATGCAGAGATACCTTTGTTTAAATACTTTTATTAGTTTAGATCATTTTGGTTTCCTTGTTTATATAGGACATTTGGGTCATACATGGCCCATGTAGGCTAAATGACTAATTCTGTTTATGAGCCACATTCTCCCCATCTACCCACTGATACTCTCTGTTCATCTGTCGGGGCACTTAGATATACCCAGTACTTCCCGGTACAGCTGGCATATGTGACCCCCTTACCTTACTCCCAGGATATAGTCATTGAACAGCTTATTGGCAGGTCTGAACACTGTCACATAGGAAGGGGAGAAAGGTCAGTAACCCTGTGTAAGGTATAACATGCTGCTTACATTGGGACTAGACCCAGTGTTGTGACAGACAAATGCTGGGGAGCATGGTGAAGGTATCAGTGGGTGGGTAGGAGCCCTCCATGAGAAAAGGGACAAATTCTCTTAAAGCCGAGGAATTTCAATGTGCTCCAACATTTTAGAGGTAAATAAACTATATTTTTCTTATTTTTCAGGATTATTTATGCCACGACAGTCTATCCCTTGTATTACTGCCCACGATTTTTCCTCTACTACTTCTTCAACATGGTCATGTTTGTGCTGCAGTTCCTTCATATATACTGGGCATACCTCATCTACAGGATGGTGCGAAAGATGATTTCTGGAAATGTAAGTTTTACAACAATCATCTCAATGGAATTAGGATAACATGCAGTGAAGTATATACTGAGTATATAGTATATACTGAGAATGGCCAACAACTAGAATAATTTACAAGCAGCTATTAAATGGGTTTTCCTTTCTCAGTGAAATGAATGTGGAATTTATGAAAATAATTGTTCAACAAATTTATTTGTAAAACTCATGATCGGGAGGAGTAAAGAGACACTTTCACGTCTATTTTCAGGCTACTACTGATCTATCGATGCAATGCTAGGCTTACTTCATACTTCTTGCAGACATTAGGGGTGTATGTTACACTCCGGGCAAAATTATCATTTACACACCGCACTGGGTGTCACCTGCACACAACATCCAGCTTCTGGGTACTGAAGAGAGGGAGAGATGCAACTCGAGCAGTGCAGAGCTCTGGTCTCATCACCCACCCCTCCTCACTATCCTCCATTCCCAAAATGTCACTCTGTGATTGGAGAATCAGAGATGATGCACATCGACGACCCTTTCCTTTCCATGTACATAACTCAAAGCCTCTTCATACATACACAGCCAAAACAAAGGTACTTGCCTCTCATCTCAAAAAAACAAATCAAAGCCTCTCAACCTCTTATCCCAATAATCAGGCTGAAACTGTGGTGATCAGCGTAAGTCTCTGCCGGACCCCATAAAGTGCATTGTAGAAAACCGGCACACGAAGAGGATCCACTTGATGCAAACGTTATTACTTAAGTGATTAAAAACAGCTAACGCATTTCAGCCCTATACATGGGCCTTCAGCATAGAAATGATAGGCTATGCTGAAGGCCCATGTATAGGGCTGAAATGCGTTAGTTTTGTTTGATTGCTGTTTTTAATGCCTTAAGTAATAACGTTTGTATCGAGTGGATCCTCTTCGTGTGCCGGTTTTCTACCATGTACTTGCCTCTCAGCTCACCGTTGCCTTAAAGAACACATGCATTGCTTTGCAGTACTCTGCGATAACTTGAGACAGGTAAGATTTTTGACCCGTCAACAAAAAGCTCACACTAAAACATGCACATAAGTGTAAGGGGCCCTTAACGGCAGAACAGTTTTTCACTGTGAGTGGAGAGCTCCTTCTAAACTGGCAACCATGTTTTTTTCTGTGTCCACATCACACATACCATTATCACTATTGAGCCCGAACATAGTTTCAGGTCAGACGTGGCCAGTATATGTTGTAGTACTTTTGGGTTGTGGCCAGTTGACTGATGTTTTAGCATTTATGATGCAGATCATTTTATATTTCATGCTAATAAATGAACTGACGTCCTGTTTCCAGCTTAGCATCATCCACTTTATTACAAAACACTATATTGTCCCCTTACATTTTATTCAGGAGAACAGATTATACATAGCTCACATGGGAGTCCAGTATGTCTCAATAAAGTTCATACTCATTTTTCCATTTGTCTGTTTAACTTTTAACATAAAGGGGAAGAAGAAGAAAGAAATAAGAAATACAATACATTTACAAATACCCTTTAAATGAGCAAGTCAGACGATATGCCATAAATGTAATCCTTTACAAATCAATTTAGGTTATCGCCATGCCTTTTCCACAGTTTGGCATTTTACTCTGTGTATGAATAAAGCCATTTTACACTAATTGCAGGCACTGAAATTGTATATTTACCCTCCTGTTGGGGCCAATTTTCAGCACCCCCTGCATGCTCTGGCATCCACAGGCTTATCCTATTGCTCTTTGTGTGTGTGCCAAGTTAAGGATTTGCAAGCTGAGTTTTGCAGTAAGCCACAAAGCTCGCACAAGCCAAGCAGTGCCTGCAGGAAACTTACTAGCGCACAGAGAGGAACAAAGGAATGTTCTGCACTAAGCAGAATGCTTTGTGGGAATGTGCTGCTCATGTGCAGAAGCCAAATTTTAGAAACAAGTTATTTGTGCGAGTGAATACACGTCGGCTCTCAAAACTAGCTTGTGTAACATATAATGAGGCTAAAAGCATAGATTTGATTGGGCTGATACTCTTTTGAAGGGTAAGACATTGTTATGCTTTTCTTACGTATGCATTAAAGTGACACTGTACTCAAGAGTTAAATCTTAAAAATGTGTGTTCCATGGTCCCTGTCTGTGTTGTAAAGTATCCACGGCTCCAAGCTCACTCCTGTGATGGGACTACAATCCTAATACAAATTAGTAAACTAAACGTGAGCTTGTAGTCCATCACAGGAGTGAGCTTGGAGCGGTAGCTACTTTACACCACACACAGGGACCATGGGGAACAAAAGTAGCCACCCTCCAGAAGGAAGGACAGAGTCAGCACCGATTCAGAAATGATTGGAGGATATACAGCCGAGTGATACACAAATAAGATAAATTTTTATTAATAGTTTGGGTACTTGAATGCATTTTTAAGATTGAACTCCTGAGTTTAGTGTCTCTTTAAATCTCCCAAACCAAAGGGAGATAAGCAGTAGGCAACTAAAGGTGTTATATAGTTATATAGCTCCCGAGTAGCCATGAAGCATGGACAGCCCCAATATACTGTATAAATAGTGACTACTGTTGACTCATCCCTATGATTATTCTTATTCAGGACTTGTATAGCGCCAACAGTTTGCTCAGAGCTTTACAAAATGCAGGGAGACAATACAGTTAACAATATAATTTCAGTACAGGAAGTAGGAGGGCCCTGCTCATGAGAGCTTACAATCTAGTAGGAGGGGCAAGTGATACAAAAGGTAATAACTGTGTGGGATGATTTAATGGAAGAAGTGAAAAGATGGTTATATGGAGGTGGAATAGGCCTTCCTGAAGAGATGAGTTTTTAAGGATCGCCTAAAGGTGGACAGCTTATGAGAGAAGCGGACAGATTGGGGTAGGTAGTTCCAGAGGATGGGAGACACTCTGGGAAAATCCAGGATGCGATGAAGGTGACGAGAGCTGGAGAGCAGGAGGTCTTGGAAGGAGCGGAGGGGGCGGTTTGGATGATATTTTGAGATAAGGTCGGTGATGTAGGTTGGGGACGAGTTGTAGATAGCTTTGTAGGTTATTGTTAGTATTTTGAATTTTAGATGTTGGGGAAGTGGGAGTCAGTGGAACGATTAGCGGGGATGGGGGGTGGCGGACGCTGATTGGTTGGTTGGTTGGTTAGGTGGATGAGTCTGGCAACAACATTCATGATAGACTGAAGGGGGGATATCCTGTTTAGTGGTAGGCCAACAAGGAGGGAGCTACAGTAGTCGAGAGATTACAAGGGAGTGAATTAGAAGCTTTGTGGTGTCATTTGTTAAAAAGGGGCGAATTTTGGAAATGTTACAGAGGTTGAGTTGGCAAGATTTAGACAGAGATTGGACGTTGGGCTAATAGGAGAGCTCAAAATCAAGGATTACGCCAAGCACTGTGGTTTGAGGGGAGGGGTTGATAGTAGTGCTGTTAATTGTGATAGAGAAGTCCGGGGAGGGGACACGGAGAGGAGGAAATATTATAAGCTCAGTTTTGTACATATTTAGTTTGAGGAAGTGGTGTGACTTCCATGTTGATATGCCAGTGAGTAGATTAGTGATTGCTGAGGAGATAGAAGGGGTGAACTGAGGGGTGGAGAGAGATTTTTGGGTGTCATCAGTATTGGAAGCTATCAACTGACCCAGGGAGAAGGTGTAGATGGAGACTAGAAGGGGCCCAAGGATAGAGCCTTGAGGGACCCCCACAGAGAGAGGAAGAGGAGAGGAGGAACTAGTGTTATATTGACACTGAAGGTATGCTGGGATAGGTAGGAGGTGAACCATGAGAGAACAGAGTCTTGGAGGCCAAGGGATTGGAGTTTATTGAGGAGGAGCGGGTGGTCAACTGTATCAAAAGCAGCAGAAAGGTCCAAAAGTATGAGTATAGAGTAGTGACCATTGGTGTTAACAGTTAGTAGATCATTAGTAAGTTTTAGTATGATGGACTGTCCAACTGACTAGTAATGAGCATAGATGAGCCTGGGCTTGGTGGAAACTCAGTGCGCCTCAGTTCACCCAAGCCCTCTTAAAGCTATGATCACCCACCCTCCCTGGCCCAATCAGTTGCAGAGAGGTGCATTCGCCATCCCGCAACTACACATCACAAAAGGGCACTGAATTCTGCCACAACTGTCGCCACTGGATGGGCAGGGAGGGGGAAGATTTGAGTGGGCTTAGGTGAACTCAGACGAACTGGATTCACACCAAGCCCAGGCTCATCACTAGAGGTGGATGGGGCAGGGCCACCCGCAGCTTCAGAGCTGAAATTGCTATTTTCATATGTCATTGTGTGTGAAGGCTCCTTTACATGCCTGCTATACATATCTGCCTTTGCAGTAAATACAGATTCACTCTACGACATTTTACATTATTATTATACAGGATTTATATAGCGCCAATAGTTTGCGCAGCGCTTTACAATATAAGGAAGACATTACAATCACAATACAATACAAGACAAGATGGTAAGGAGGGCCCTGTCCGTGAGGGCTTACAATCTAAAAGACATGTCTCTGTGATATATTTGCACGATTCCTGTCTTGTTTATTTTTATTTTATAGACCGGATGATTCTCTTCACGAAGCAGTAGAGTCAGCAACCATAGCAAATGGCTCCAGAAATAAGATCAGTTAGCCATATAGTCTAAACACGCTGATAGACTTGCACGCAGTCAGAGCAGCGGAGCTCATATAAATAATAGGCAAATATGGTTGTCCCCTCTCTATATATACATTTGCAATACAAACAGAAGCAATATTTCTAACACTCTCTGAAATGATTTACACATTGCAGATTATATTACCATGCATGTGTAAAAAAAACACTAACAAATGTTCTTCTAGAATAGTCACAAGTGCAGCATTAGGTGTGTGTTGTGTTGCCCAGCCATGTCTCAGCTGTCTTCAGTATTCCATACAACTTCTCTAGTTTATTCCCAAGTTTCTTTCCTCTAAAGATGACCTGCTACAGTTTTTGTCCACCCTATAACAAGTGCTTTAAAAGAACAATTTGGCCTTCCGTAGTACTCACAGTGGCTGTTAGAAGAGAACCTGTCATTATTGGGCTTATTCATTTATTACAGGTATTTGTATAGTGCCGATAATATACACAGTTAAACATTCACATCAGCCCCTGGCCCCAAGGAGCTTACAATCTGAGGTCCCTATCTCACATACAGGGCCAATATACCTACCGGCATGTCTTTGGAGTGTGGGAAGAAACCCAAACAAGAACAAGAAGAATATTCAAACTCCATGCACATAGTGTCCTGACCAGGATTTGAATCAGGGACCCAGTGCTGCCAGCTTAGGCAGAGTTGTAGTAGAGGATTACTTCTATTGTTTATAGTTCTCTTTATATACCTTTTACCTTTTCTAAGCCTGGCACTGTAGAAGGAATATCAGTGGCTTAGAGGTTATCTCAAAATTAAGAGTTCCTGCCATTGCCTAACCTCCCAAACAGCACATTTAGATACTGGGAGACCATGGGGTTGATTTACTAAAGGTATATAAGCTGTTCACTTTGCAAAGGAATATTGTCTTAGCTTAGTAAATGAGGGTAAGCTCTGTTGTTTTTCATCATCCAATTCATGTGCAAACAAAAATACTGTTTATTTTCTTTGCATGTGATTGGGTATTTGTAAAGTGAATTTTCACCACCAAAATCCCCTGCAAAGTGAACAGTCTACTTGGCCTTAGTAAATCAGCTCCAATGTGTGAGGTCAGGGAGCTGATAGGCCAACACTTCAGGTGACTTGTACATTTTAACCTAAATGCCCAGACTAAGTTTAGCAACATCAGTATGTGCCAGCTGACAATATTCCTACTAATACTAATACACTGTTAACCAGCCAAAGTGGAGTCAAATCTCATGTTATCACATACTGCTGATCACTCAGTTCCTGATCATCTCCCTGCAGAGAGCCGTGACTGACGGCCACTGTCCTTCCTTCTGGAGGGTGGCTACTTGTGTTCCCCATGGTCCCTGTGTGTGATGTAAAGTAGTCACCACTCCAAGATCACTCCCGCCATTGACTACAATCTCATGCTTAGTTTACTAATTTGTATTGAGATTGTAGTCCAGGGATGTCCAAACTCCGGCCCTCCAGTTGTGGGGAAACTACAAATCCCATGAAGCATCTCTCTCCGGGAGTCATGTCTGTGAGAATCTTGCAAAGCGTCATGAGATTTGTAGTTCCACCACAGCTGGAGGGCCGCAGTTTGGACATTTCTGAGTCCATCACAGGAGCAAGCTTGGAGCGGTTGCTACTTTATAACACACACAGGGACCATGGGGAACAAAAGTAGCCACCCCCCCAGAAGGAAGGACAGCGTCAGCACCAATTCAGAGATGATTTGAGGATCTGCAGCCGATTGATACATAATGTTACATTTTTATTAATAATGAAGATACTTGAAAGCATTTTTAAGATGTAACTCCTGTCACTTTAGGTTCAGTGGTTCTTAAATTTATATATACTGTATAGTTGGTGTTTGCATATATAAACTGTATCTGTTCTCTCTGTAGATGTCTGGTGATGATCGCAGCGATAACGAAGAAGAAGAAGACAGTGAGGAGAATGAGGACCAGCCATTAACCAATGGGGAAGGCAAGAAGCCCATAGTAAATGGCCAACATGACCGCTAATTGCCAACGTCGCTGTGTGCATTTGTGCCTTCACCCCTGATGTACAGAGAAAGGGTTAAACAAGAACTTGGTTATCTGCATTGGGTTTCCAGACAGACACTAAGCAGGGGAGAGGGGCAGGGGGCTGCAGCTGGAGAAGCACTATACATCAGGAGGTGTATGGTCCTGATGGGACCAACTGTGTTTCAGAGGCAGCACAGCCAACTTCCAGTCTCACCCATAAACTAATACACAATAAATAAGTAAATTAAAAAAGCTTGCTCTGCGTGCATGAGGCAGCAAATAAACAATAAAACCTTTTGTTCTGCTACAGAGAAAGAAGAACAAATTATTACGGCCTCCTCTGGAAATACAAAGGGTTAATTTAAAGAGTGTGTGTGTCTGTGTGTGTGTGTGCGGGGAGATGTTAACAAGATAATCTAGTTCCTTACTGCTTCCTGGACTGTTTGAACTGGTGTGTGATTACATCTGGTACCAACCATGGCTTACACAAGAAACACAAAAGAAGTGTTTGGATATCTTCTGTCGCCTGGGGGTGAACACAAAAACAAAGCTGTCCCAAAATGCACCGGGGACGCAGCGACAGCCACGACCTGTTAACGAGTCACAGATTCTTCTTCCATGCCTCGAGGGGTTAACTCGGCAGTGTCCTGAAAATGATGACACTGACTCCGCCTCCTCCTTGGCTCTATTTATACCACATACAGGAACACAAGAGGAGCTCTGTGTAGAATACACACAAGATTAGCTGTGTGCCTGCTGTGGCTTCATCTATGAGGTGTGTGGGAGGGGACAGCTGGATCACTTTCAGCCAAACTGACCACAGAAAGGACTGGCGATGCAACTTGCCATTAACACACAGCGCTGCCGTCCCTGCGTTCAGAAAAACAGCGAGTACATTTTGGAACATGCATCTTAAAAAGGCATGAGCAACTCCTGCACACAGAAATAGTATCTCCCGAGGACTTAGCCAGTGCAAAGAGCGGCGATGTGCTAGTGCAGAAATCAGTAGTAGCCAATAGATTTCACCAGGAGGGATGATTGCCGACCGGTCTCTTGGGGTTATTGTGCCCTGCACATTGCTCTTCAAGTTTTCCTATAAGGCCTCTCTCTGGGAAAACCAAAGAACTACCCTTGCAGTGAGGCCACCCCCCACACTGCAAGGGTTATCTGCTCGTTTATGCCTTGGGACAGGAAAAAAACTGTTTTACTTCCCTGATCCCTACTCCTGCCAGCTCTCTCCATGGTCACAACACTCTGTGGAGTGCAGCCCAGCACGGTATGTCTTCCCAGAGAATTTCAGGGTCCACTTGAACTTTCCCACATAGGGGTTTGGCTGTGTGACAGACCTCCTACTTTCCTGTGTGTTCCGCATGTTCTCCTATGTGAGCCAGGTCCCCCCCAGACTTCAGTGGCAGAATAGTCTACTGAAATCAACAGCACAGCATACACCAGTCTTTGTGTTGGGTCGCACTGCCCCAAACATTGTCCACAACCTCTGGTACTGTAGGCTTACTGACCTTCATTGCCATTGTGCTGGTATGGAATTGGATTCTGGCACTGGATCCACTTCTGCGTCCAAGTCCATGTGAGCTCAGCCTAAAAGAAAACTTGTCTTCAGAGAAAGAAGGAATAGCTGACTTCTGAAATACTCTGGCAGTCTTACTGACCTCCTGGGTCACTGGCCCAGAACAAGTATAGGGATAAGGAGTTATGATCTGAATACTTGTTCCATGTTGGTGACTCATTGGGAGCGCATAAAAGGCAACCCATGACATGTAAATTTGATAAGGCAAACAGCAGCGTGCACATTCTTTAGTTATGGATCAGTTCACTATACATCACTTCTCTTTGCACTTACCTGTTCCACACTGCCCCCCCCCCCCCCCCCCCCTTGTTGGTGCTGAAAGACACCAGAAATGTATGTCTCATGGGAAAAGATGGCAATGTAAACATGGCTTTGATGCATACATATATATAGAACACATGTATTTTCATTTTAGTTTATTTTTAATACCCCTGAAAATAATTTTCATATATTCGCCTTTGCTAAATGCTGTGATGTAAACCAGCATAACCCCAAGCCTGCACCTTCCTTCTGCTGCAACCTGCGTCCTTCATTTCATTCAGTGCTGCCTTAATGTGCACTTGGCTGCTGGTAGATGCAACTCGACCTTCAGCCTTCGCAAAGGTCATCGCACCTTCAAGCTGAGTGCTCTATTAAAGTTTTCTTAACCAGTTTGGCTTCTGGGCCAAAATATTGTTTTTTTCGATTAATCCTTAATAGAGAGACGAATTGGGTTTATCCCAAACTTTATATAAAGACCAAAGCTTTGTGGAATGAAATAAAGAATAACATTTCAGTTCAGTATTGTCTGCTGCAGACTGATTCGGAGATCGCTGTTTTATGCCTGTGCTAAATAGTCTTTTACACACACTCATTTTCTATTTGTAATTCTGTCCACTTGTAAATAAAACCACAAACTGTGATGAAGCCGCAAACGCGACCAGTTTTCAGAGGAGTGTTTTTTTCTTTAATGTTTTACTACAATTAGTTTCTGAGTGTGACGCATGAGCCACGTGGATGAAATCGTCTGGAATGTGCGTTCATGTACTGCCTGGCATATACACTATATTACAAAAAGTATTGGGACGCCGGCCTCTACACGCACATGAACTTTAATGGCATCCCAGTCTTAAGGTGCTCATACACTGCACGATTCTCGTACGAGAATCGAGGGAAATCCCACGATCGTACGAGAATCGCGCAGTGTATGGAAGGCGTGCGACCATTTCTACTGTACGGTCGCACGTCTTCCGTCGAACCAGCATGCTAGAAAACCCACCGGGAATCGTACGATTCTCGGCGAGTTAGTGGCCTGCTGGTTCGACAACTGCCGAACGGGCCGCTGTGTGCACGCGCACACAGCCCGTTTGCAGTCATCGTAAGCCCGCCCCTCAGGGGGGCGGGCTTGCGATGATCGAGAGTACGATCTGCCTGTCCAAGATGGGCAGATCGTATGTTTTTTTATCACTTTACAACCATCGCAAGAATAAGGTCTTGCGATGGTTGTAAGTGTATAGCCACCTTTAGTCTTATATTGTAAAGGGCTCTGTGCAGGCCAGTCAAGTTCCTCCACCCCAAACTCGCTCATCCATGTCTTTATCGACCTTGCTTTGTGCACTGGTGCGCAGTCATGTTGGAACAGGAAGGGGCCATCCCCAAACTGTTCCCACAAAGTTGGGAGCATGAAATTGTCCAAAACGTCTTGGTATGCTGATGCCTTAAGAGTTCCCTTCACTGGAACTAAGGGGCCAAGCCCAATCCCTGAAAAACAACCCCACACCATAATCCCCCCTCCACCAAACTTTACACTTGGCACAATGCAGTCAGTCAAGTACTATTCTCCTGGCAGCTGCAAAACCCAGACACGTCCATCGGATTGTCGGACAGAGAAGTGTGATTCGTCACTCCAGAGAACACGTCCCCACTTCTCTAGAGTCCAGTGGCGGCGTGCTTTACACCACGGCATCCCACGCTTTGCATTGCACTTGGTGATGTGCGGCTTGGATGCAGCTGCTCGGCCATGGAAACCCATTCCATGGAGCTCTCTACGCACTGTTGTTGTGCCAATCTGAAGGCCACACGAAGTTTGGAGGTCTGTAGCTATTGACTCTGCAGACAGTTGGTGACTTATGCACACTGTGCGCTTCAGCGTGTGCTGAGCCCACTCTGTCATTTTATGTGGCCTCCCACTTCGTGGCTGAGATGCTGTTGTTCCCAGTTGCTTCCACTTTGTTATAATACCACTAACAGATGACCACGGAATATTTAGTAGCAAAGAAATTTTCACGGAACACCTGAACCCAATGATTTGGTGGGGTGTCCCAATACTTTTGGTAATATAGTGTATGTTGGATTAGGGTTCCATCCTACCCCTTTGATTGGCTGGAGGAATAGGGTTTAGGATAAGTCCCTGTTCACACTTGGACGTTTTGACGCTCAAAGCGAAGTGCGACAAAACTCTCCACACTAGAAATCCCATCTATTTCTATGGCCCCTGTTTACACCTGAAAGTTTTGTCACAAGCTGTAAAACGCTGTATGCTGGAAAAGATACATGAGCTTCTTTCGGGCAGATTACAGCACGTTTGGGCGCATAGACTTCAATGGAAGCGCAATAAAATGCACAACAGAAACGGTTTGCACATTTCTGTGCGCGCTTGCGCGCACGGTTCCTCATTCACAGCAATGCGTTTTGATCTGCTCAATGAAACGTGTGTCTATGTCTTTGCGCGCAAAAAAAGCGCAAACCATGCGAGGGAAAGACATGCGTGAAAGTGCTGACGCCTAGGTGTGAATGGAGACTAAGGTGGGGCTTTAGAGCTGTGTGATGATCAGATTGATGAAATGTCATGTGATATTTCAGCATTGCAGACCTCACAGGCCACTTTAGGTTTCCTGAAACATGAAAAATCCTTTCAACTGGTTGGCCAAATCTTTTTACGTGGATACCTTTCCCTAAATTTGCACACCATCTCTTTGCCATACATTATTAACCACTTGCTGCCTGGAGCAATATCTTACTATTTGCGCACACACATGATGAAATCTGAATTTTTGGCTAGAAAAAAGCTTCCGACCCCCAAACAATGAGATATTTTCTGAAAGCAGAGGCCCTGTAGAATACAGAGATGCTAGTTGCAATTTGTTATGTTGCGCGGTATTTGCACAAATGTTTATCAAACCAGTATTTTTAGGATAAAATAAACTAATATGAAATGTAAAGCACAGAAACATGCTATATATATATATATATTATAATATAATACCCAATTTGTGGGTAAAATATAAAAGACGGGGTCACGTCGGGTAAATAGTTACCAAACATGTCAAGCCCATGAAACTGCAAAAACTATTATACCCCAAATTTCCCATAGGCGCTGCTTTAAAACATCTTACTGTTCATCAGTTTAGTGTTAACAGTGATTGATGGCCCTAAAAGTATTGCTCTCACTCGTTGTTTGTGGCAATATGTAACGTGTGGTGCAATTTTCATTTTTGCACGTGGGCACACCGGACGCGTGTTTGTACATGGGTAGGGGGGGACTTTAAGAAATTATTTTTTGCATTTTTAAATGTGTTACTTTGATTTTTTATTTTTACCCTCAATTTTATTGCTATCACATAGGGGGCTAACAAGCCCCCTATGTAATAGCAAGTATGAGGTGACAGGTCCTCTTCATGGAGACATCAGAGGTCTTTCACACTCCTGTCAGCTAGGGACCCCAAAGGAGCTGATGAAGCAGCAAT